GGAATGATTTTTTTTTTCGCTGTTTACTGCCTTGTTAACCTTCATTTCCTTCCTCTCCTCACCTCCAAAAGCAAGTTCCAACCTAATTCAATAATCCTACCTACTCAGGGGACTTCTAAACCAAAATTGTTTCCATCCTGAAACAAACCTACTTTTATGGCCATTATACTTGGAGCCCACGGAACCCTCAAGCATGCTGGTAAACACCACAATGACGACTGTCTTCTCCCAGAGGCCCTGTAAGCGGTCCTTAGTTATAGCTGTGAAGTATTTTGAGAAACTTGAATTAAAGTGCTAGAGAAAGCACAACACTCATGTATTGCTCATCTTGGAAAGACAACAGCGAGGAGCTTCCAAAACTATCTTTGATTAACATAATCTGGAAGTGATGAATATGGATATTGTCAATAGTCACCTAGAAGCATGTTTTCTTTTGTACATTTTGTTCTTGCCAGTACATTTCCTACCAAGGACGGGGATGCACCAAGCCCCTGTTTGCATCAACAGAGCAAGCACTCCGAGGACTTGCTCAGAGGGAATGGAGCCAGAAAAGAATGCTTGCCATCCTCCATCCATGTTGTCATCACAGTTTCTAACTGTCACCTCCCTGACTAGGCTGGCTTATTTCTCAGTGTCTATGTGACAGTTCTGATGAGGACTGACCAGACAGTGTCCCAGGGAAGTTCTCTATACCATGTGGCATCCACAGTCGTTGCCCACGGAAGAGAGCTGTCCAGAGGCTCCCCTACCTGCCCAGGAGGGGAAGTCGGAAGTGTTTGTCAAACTCATGGTGCCCTGTGGAAAATGGCAATCTCTGGTTTTCCACACTAAGCATTTGAGCCATAATACCTGGCATTGGGTAGAGGGCTCAAAACTTGCCATGCCAGAATGACCTGAGAGCTGTAAAGAATCCTATATGCAGGCCATACCTCAGACAAGTGTTGGGCGTGGGGCACAGGCACCAGCGTCTCTGAAACCACTCTGCGTAGTATCAGCGTGCATTGCAGCCAAGGTGGAGAGCTGGTACGAAGGGGTCTGAGGATGGAAAACCCTCAGAACACTGGAATGAAGGTCACTTGCCCCTACCACAGCCATGCCCTGCCATGAGGCCCTCACTTTCCAGCAGCACCTGTGGCTCATGAGGCCCTTCTACCTCTACTGACCATTCGCCCCCTTCTCCTGTGTACCATGCCTGTGTGCAAGCACTGGCCGGCTGGGACCGTGCCAGTCAGATTTCCAGCCACTTGTCGGCCTCCCCAGCAGCAGGCCCGTACTCACCTTTCTACATCCACCTTCTGGGACTGCCTTACAGGCCCCTGTGGCCGCGGTTCTTTAGCTAAACTTGGCCCAGCAGCTACCGTGAGTCACACTAGGCACCTACCCCAAGGAAAGGAAATCAGGAACACGCAGATGGTATAATAGTTACTCCCCTGGACTCCCATGTAGTTGGCTGCAGTTTGAGTCCCAGACCCAGCAGCTTAAAACTCACACCGGGTACATGTGCATACATGTCCAAACTCTCAAGAGGAGAATGGAGAAGAAGGGATTGTGGCATGGCTGTCACCCCTGGGGAGTGATTTCTTGCTTTCTGAATCTGTTCTCTCTGGGGAACACATGTGCCCTATATATAGCAAAAATCTCAACAACAACAACAAAATGGAAAGAAATCAGTGTGTCTTAAAAATATCTGTTCCCAGCATTCACTGCAGCTCTCTTCAGAGGAGCAAAGACATGGAATCAACCCAGGTGTCTATCAACAGACCAGTAACTGAAGAAAATGCGAGAACACACACACACGCACGCACACAAGTGGGACACTTTGCCGCCATTAGAAAGGACAAATCCCCGTCATTTAAGGTAAAATAGGTGAGCCTGGAGGATATTATGTCAAGTAAAATTAGGGCAGTCACAGAAAAAGAATACTACCTGTTCTTGGTATGTGACAGTCGACCACCACCACCACCCTCACAAAGGTAGAGAAATGAAGGGTGACTACTGCAGACTGGGGGGGTCCAGGGCAGTGCCGAAGGACATTTATTAGCAGAAACACAATGAGAGGTACAGGAGCAGCCTGAGAAGAACATTTCTAGTGTTATAAAATATAGCGGAGTGACTCTGTTAATAACCACCTATGGTATGTCTCAGAGTAACAAAAAAAGAGAGACTCTGGAATGTTCGCAGTGCAAAGCGATGACAAATGGTTGCGATAACAAGTATACTAATTGCCCTGATTTAATCATGGCACTTTGTAGTCTCGTATGGAAAAGATCACATTGTGCCCCCACACCTAGGTGCAATTATTTTGTCAATTAAAAAAAAAAAAGTATTTTGAAAGCCAACTATTTGATGCCTACGAGAGACTCCTCAGCTCAAAGGCTGCGGGTGATTCGTGTGCCGGGGCTGCCACAGGACAGTGCCACGGACGGCAGTTTTCCAGCAGACACTTGTCTCACCATGCAGTGATGTTTCCATAACTATTAAGATGGGGAAATATTCCATCCTACTGTTAAACAAAACAAAACTCAAGCCTGAGTCAGTAGTTCACTCCACATTATAAAATATACACCTACCTATGTATTTGTTAATCCATACAAATATGTACTCATATTTATATAGAAAAGTGTCTGAAAGAATAAATGAGGGGTCTTCAAAGAGTTCATGGAAAAAGCTACATAGGGATTTCAAAACATCACACCAAAATATATTCGTTTCATTCCATTTTCCACAAACTTTTTGAAGTCCCCTAGTAAATCAGGTGTAAAATGATGGTCTCTTGCTAACTAGATAGTATTTTACTTACTCGTTTTTAAATTGTGTATAGTATTTGGTTTTTCTGCAAAACACGTGACACCTTTTTGTAATAAGAGAAACAATTAAAAAAAAAAAAAGCTTTTCAGAAAAAAACAGAAGTGAATCTCACTCGCCATGTAACTCGAGTGCCTCTGGTCTCTCATTCTAGACTGCACGGTGTATTAGGGCCAGAATGGCGTCATTGCATCCGCAAGCCCACCGCCACGCTGGGCCCAGAGCAGATGTCAGATACGTGCGGGCTGAGTTGATACGACACAGATAATGCGCCTTCATCTTCCCACAGGGACTTAGCCAAAGCGGTTGCTCTAACAGCTTTCCTAGGGTACATGTGGGGTATTTTCTCATAAGTCTGAAAATCTTTAGAAAAAGAGGAGCAGGAGGAGGAGGAGTGCAAACACTCTAGGCGTTTAAATATCTCTGGTGTACAGTGGCACTACCCAGCCGTAGTGATATTTAAGGTGTTGTCAAAGATAAAAACAGCATGATACGACACTGTCAAACCTAGGAGGAAATTAAACCAGAAGGGCTGCCACCCGATCCCAGTGAACCAAACTGCCAAATTTCACCTGATTCTTCTCATTAGCTTGCAAAGCTTTTAGAAGCAGACAAGTGCTATCTTAAGTGCTAAGTAGTACTCATTAATAACATTAGTAGATTAACTAGGCAGGTACTTACAGTATATGTAAATATGTGAATGCTCTGGGCTTATCAGCACAGCGTCTTGTATATTTCCGTAAATTGAATGAATTAAAACTAAAGCAACGAGCCTATTTTCTGAACAAGAGCACTGAAGCCACAATGGCAAAGTACCTATTCAATTAGCAGAGTGATGTTTCTGGCTGATTCGTGTAGAATCATGTTTGGCTACAAAAAATGTTTTGTAAAATCTCAGAAAACTTCTGGCTCCCAAGGAAAGTAGCTCCATAGGAATGGCTATCAGAAGGGCAAGCAGGTGACATGATGGCTAAGGTGCTGGACTCCCACGTGAGCATCGTGGTTGGAGTCCCAGACCTGGTGGCTTGCTTTCTCACCTCTCTCTCTCTCTCATCTTTCTCTGATGAGCACATGTACCCAATAGTAAAATTTTTAATAATAATAATAATAATAAAGAAGGACTATTAGATTCTGGGAAGGTTGGGGGTGGGACAGAAGAGGTGAGAATAGAGGGATGTCGGTCAACAGAAACAAAATTATAGCTAGAAAAGAGGAACAATTTCTTACGTTATAAAATAGAGCAAGGAGAATATGGTTAACAACGATCTAAAAACTAAAAAAGGATTTGGAATTTTCCCAACCAAAAGTAATGACAAATGTAGGCAGGATAACTATACTAATCACTCTCATTTAATCACTGCCCATTGTATGGAAAAACCACCTTGAAGCCAAAAATACAATGAATCAAATAAATGAAGAAGGCCAAAAGAGAAAGTTTCATTTCATATTGGATTTTCTAACTTGAGTAAACTTTAGAAATCGCCTGACAACATGTTTTTAATGCTCTCAAACCCATCACCCTTCTTATAACAAATATCCTGTCACGCCCCTTTTTATTGTCCACATCATGGTTTGTTTTTCTCTTGGTCTCATCGTCTCTTTTCTTGTGTTTTTCCTGCAGACCTTCATGCCCAGGAGAAGGCTGCTTTGGGTCCCTCTGGACCTTTCCTAAAAGTGGGATTCCTGTTCACTAGATGAGTTCCAGAACCACGCACTAAGGCTTCTGCAGGCCTCTTCCCTCAGCTGAGCTTCGCCACCACCCCAGTTACTCTCGATGAGTGGCTTGCTGGCCTCGCTGGACCCCCGGCGGGTGCAGTGGGGGGCTGCCTGGTATGCCATGCACTCCAGGATCCTGCGCACCAAGCCAGTGGAGTCCATGCTGGAGGGGACTGGGGCCACCACAGCGCATGGCACCAAGCTGGCCCAGGTGCTCACCACTGTGGATCTCATCTCTCTGGGCGTCGGCAGCTGTGTGGGCACTGGCATGTACGTGGTATCTGGCCTGGTGGCCAAGGAAATGGCAGGACCTGGTGTCATCGTGTCCTTCATCATTGCAGCCGTCGCATCCATATTATCAGGTAAGGGTCTCACTGCAGAAGTCCTACGTGAAGTGCACCGCCCGCCTGGTGGCTGCCATGCCACTTTTCTAGGGATTTAGGGCTGAGTCATATGAAATGCAGAGAAGTGGCTCCTTCTGCTTCCTTTTTGTCTCAACTACCAAAGATCAAGGCCAGGTTTTGACTCAATTGTAACAGCTTCCATTTTCTTTGTTGTTGTTGTTGTTGTTGTTTAATGTATATCATTATTCTGGTGCCCAGTCATCTCTCAGCTTCTCATTCCCTTTTATATTCTAGTGTTCTACTTTTTATTTTCGACTCTCCCTTTCATTGAAAGAAGGAGGATGAGAAAGAAATACAGCTTGAAAATAAACAGTGAACAAAAGATAGCAGACTAGCAAAATAACAAGTCAATTAATCCGATATGATTGGGATTCGGTAAGCCTCAAACTAGCATTGTGCATCTCCACCCCACCCCACCCCCCAGAGAAGGAAACCAAGCTGGGAGATTTAAAGCCATTTTGAGAATCACAATGCACCATTTGCCACGAGTACCCCAACAAACTGATACTCTGCAGGGGCAGGTCATAGTGAACCAGAGAGCTCATTTTTTAAACAAGGTACCAGGACTTCTGAGCTCATAATTCATGGACCAACTCTCTCATCACCTTCTCTTCCTCCCTCTTCTTTTGATCCACAGCATCTTCTCAGAATACCAAGAATAGGTCATAAGACAACTTGAAAAAGGAGGAAGAAAACTTCCTGCTTCTTGATGATTATAATGCAGAAGCACGAGACTTTATAGGGCTTTTAGGTGACTGATCACCTGGCTCAACCCATGCACTGGCAATGAATGAATGCCTTGGTCTCATTAAATGTTTAAGGAGAAGCAGGAATTCCTACAGGTTGGGAGTTCTGTGTACTAACACATACCATCCCAAGAAAAGCAGTTTGTTAATATTATACACCTAGATTAAATCACCCATGTAGGATGCAAAGACAGACCACAAACATGCAAATTATGCTGGTTTATATTTGACAACTTTTTCATCTTTTTTTTTTTTTGAGAGATTTTCACTGTAGGGCGCGTGCGCTCGCCAGACAGACAGAGAGAGACATAGAGATAGAAAGCGAGAAATCTCCCCCCAGAGGGGATGGTCACGCCGCAATCCCTTCTCCTCCATTCTCCTCTCGGGATCTTGGGCACGCACGCACACGCGCCCGGCGTGAGTTTTAAGCCACCGGGTCTGGGACAC